GTAGTAGTAGGGCCTTGTGAAAGGGTGCGTCCAGTGAAATACTATCATCTTCCGTATTTCTGCCGCCAAACAGTAATGTGGGCATTACTGCGTTCCGGTTTGGAAGGGTGAGGATGTTGGTGTATTACAGGAATATGTGACTTGTCAACGTATGCCTCAGGGTGACAGTGGCCCTCAGATTTTTGCAATTTAAGAATCTATACAATCTCAAATGGCTTTAGTTGATTCGGCATAACAGTTGAATCAATTACTTACTTTGGAAAAAATATACAAGTAAAATTGAGTATATACACTGATTACTGTGTGGTGTGAAAATACAATTCCTAGAAATTTTCACAATAGAAAAAAACACAAACTTACGTCGAAATTTTACAAGAAAACCCGGTATTCAATAGGTACATTATATTACATTATACCAATTATTCTTTTTTTATGTCAATATATTAATTTAATACGATATGCATTTTTCAAATAAAAAAAAATGATATAACGGCAGTGACCCTGTGCGCTTCGTTTTATTTAACAAAAAGTATAAATCAATTACCTACGAAATAAATTTACATTTGGAGTTCCAATTGGCAATTTTAATATTACAAAATTCTGGTATGTTTTAACCGCTCGCATGTGTTTCAAACTTTTAACAACAATACGAGAGCAAAAACAATGTAACCGTATTAAATAATTTGCGTTAAAGGCCGAAGTTTACCGCGCAGCGACCCTCGCAGTGCTTGCGATATATCATCCACGGAAATTGGGCTCGTTTAACACCCCAATAACTATATAACACAACCATTTTACATATTACACGATGCAACGTTGCCCATATAGGGTGCGATCTCGTCGTGAACATTTTGTAGCTGGAATTTTGATTGGGTTATACATATTATACAATTTTGTTGTTGTAGTAGGAGAAGAGATATTTGTGAAAAAGGTGTTTCAGGGATGTACTGCCACCTTATCGTGCTGGTGAAACTGCAGGCCCGTGGAGCTAAACAATAGTGCCCCTCAGATTGATTTGGTAAGCGACACGTCTGTCCGTAGCAGCAGCTGTGAGACTGAGAGCTTTAAAGTTACAAAAAACATCTTTTGTCAGAGCAGATGTGTCTTGCGACATAGATATTTCCCTAATCAATGCGTTTAATACCTGTAAACCTGAATTTCCGTACCTATATATATATATATACTTACGTGGCACGGCTTACTGGGCTGCGATCGCTCACCATATGGTACTAAACCAGCACTGTTTGCCTTCTCTCGGTCGACAGTATTTATTGTATGTGTTATTTATTATTGTATTTCTGCTGAATAAACGTACTAAATCTATCTCTCGATCTTTCTATCTACATTGCAAATATCTAACTGGCAATGCCACTGCACCCTTCGCCCTGAGACATAAGTTGATAAGTCCTATGTGCCTGTAATTTGGCCAGCACCCTTACCTCACATTAAAGCTTGGCGGGAGAAAAAGACAAGGTGACAGTACTTCCCTGGACAACTATAGTAGTAGGGCTCCTTGTAAAAGAATTCGTCCAGGGAAGCACTGCCACCTTAACTATTTCTGCCGCCAAGCAGTTAATTATGTTAGCATTACTGAAATGCGGTTTTGAAGGGTGCTGGTGAAATTACGGCACATGGGACTTGTCAACTTATGTCTCAGGGTGACGGGCGCAGTGGCAGTGCCCGTCAGAACATTGCGATTTAAAGTTTTGAGTGGCACTGCAACTGTTATGGATAGGCGTACAGCTTACCATCACTCGTCACTTAATATAATAATAATAATAATGAAAAAATGTAAATAGAACTCACGTACACACAGCACGCTCGGACGTTAATTACTCTAGTTTTATTTTTCTTTGTGTATTTTAAGTACTTATACAAACTTGTGTAATGTAATATGGAAGAGCGGGGCTTCTAACACAAGTAAGCTTTACTTACAAGTAGCCCCAATACCGTATAAATTAAATCATAAATAATAAATAATAAATAAATAATAAATAATAAATTAATAATAAATAAATAAATTTTCATTTTTTTTATTAAATAACAAATTTTGTTTTCTTTTTCATTTTTTTGTTTTGTTTTTTTGTATTGCTTTCTTGATGTTTATGATAGTCAAATAAATGTATTTTGTTTCTCTCTTCTTTCTAGGTATAAATGAACTTAGGAATAAAGGATCTGTAGTATTTACTTGCCCTATTACGAGACTAGGTGATTCACACTACATTTTATACACGTTTATATACATTTTAATTTATAAAATTTACTGTGTCAACGATTATACTTTGTATCGTTTTACATATTTCACTTTGCCGTCATTATCCCCGGAAGAACATTTTGTTCCCGGACCTCGTGGGTTTCCCGGACAAAATAATTAAGACCCCAAATCGGTCTTTAGTTCATGTAAAATTTGCAACAACGGTTTTATTCATACGGGTAATTAATGAACCCGTCGGGAACAATTTGTTTTCATTTTAAGTTGTTAAAAATGGAAATGGTTTTGTGTAACTTTATTATCAACCTATATAAATTTTACAGCTGTTTATGGTTCCACATTACGGAGAAAATTTCCAAAATATACACTGGGTGTAATCGTTAATAAATATTATATTATAACGCTGACGATAAAGATAACGCAGTCAAGGTAGCAATATACTATTCAAAGTTAATATCTATAGCCCTAAAATAAACGATGCATTAACACGATAAGAAGAAGTTTTTCCGTTCTTTTCATTAAGTATTCTCATACTAGAGTTAAGGTAGAAAACGACTTTTTTACCAAGTGACGGGACGATCAAGTCATGCGCCTGATGGTAAGCGACACGTCTATCTATAGGAGTTGTAGTGCCATTTAGACCTTTATACCGCCTGTCACCCTGAGATGTAAGGTGACAAGTCCCATGTACCTGTAATTGTTTCGAGCCCTATAAAGGTCACGATTGACTGTGACCATATCACTGACACAGTCAACCGTGACCATGGGACCTGTAAAGGGCCCGAGACGTTGGTTTGTTTGAAAAAACAAATGTACGCGATTTAAATCCGGAAAAGAGTCTATTTTTCCTTATATTATTTTTTTATAGTGTTCAGCGGTGGGACGTTGACACCCTTTATTAACGACTGTCACGCATACTAAGAGGAATGTCAACACGCAGCAGTACGAACGCACACACTACACAGAAATTTATTTGTACGACGAATGAGCGGTATACAGAAATACTTAGTTAAGTTTATGTTATACTGGAATGTTTTGTTTTTTAGTGCTTTAAATGTAATAAATAATAATAATTACTGCTAGACCGCAGAAATACTTAAAGCAGTACTTTCTTAGGCGAACTCTTTCACAAAGAGCTCTACTGCTACTACAAAATATCACTTTTTAATTAGTAGTACTGTCTGTACTTGTAAAGTTGAAACTCGAAAACGTTGGTCTGTTGGAATAAAAAATAAACGTACGCGATTTAGGTGCGGAAAAATAGTTTCGTTTTCAATATATTTTGTATTTCACAGAAACTAAATCGACACACATTAAAATCGAGTACATTGTATCGATGTTGATGACGCACAATGTGCTTGTAATTTCACCAGCACCCCAGAACACTAATGGTCATTACTGCTTGGCGGTAGAAATAGGTAAAGTCATTCTGACGAACTCTTTGACAAGGGGCTCTATTACTAACAATTCTATCGATTTCCGTAAGGCTTCATGCTATAATCATCGATATATAATTAGTAGGTTATGCATTGCGCGATGGCGTCTTTCAAAGTGCAGCTCCATACATCCGCTCAAGATACTCGTCTGAACTTCGTAACTATACAGCAGTTGAACTATGGTTTGTATACCTCAGCTTTTCGACGTCAATAGTAAGGACTATATTCTTGAAAAATGCCCAAATCTATCATCAATTTTCAATTCTTGATTAGAATATTTCCAAAAGAAATCATATTACAAAGTTTAAGGACACGAAGAGGAAAAGGTGTTTTAATATTAGTTCGACGGTATTTTTTTGTGTGTATGTTACGCGATAACTCCGACATTTGATAATTCTTTTTTTGTTAGAAAGAGGTTACCTCATTAGTGGTCCTATTTGAATTTGAAGAAAATGGTCCACCTCTAAGGGTGGCAGACTAGAGCATGACTCCGGTTTCGTGCACTTTCCGGTAACCGATTTCAATAAAACTTGGCAAATAGATGTAATTTCACGAACTTGTGAGGTCGGTTTTTTTGGTACTCTGTACTGAGATTAAACTCGTATATATAAAGTATTCAAATACAAAGAAATTCAGTAGATAAAGTCATATCGATTTCCCGTTGAATTATACATATATTGTTTCAAAATCACACGGGTTTATAAACTCGTAATTTCGTAACTTCTTGTTAATTATTCAAAATAATAGAACATTTTTTATAATCAGCACTCTAATTAATAAAGTGGCATAATCCGAAAAAGACGTTTTTTAGAAAACTGGCGAAATATAATATTTGTGAACGAATTGACATCGTTTTTCAAAATAATAGAAAATTTTCGCTATATCACCCTTTAAATGATTAAGTGGCACAATCCGAAAAAAGACGTGTTACGGAAAACTGGCGAACTAAATGAAAAAGAAACTACGTACTGAAGTTAACAACATCTTTTCTTCAAAATAATAGAACATTTTCTACATATCACCCTTTAATATGATTAAGTGGCATTGTTCGAAAATTCGACGTTTGGAAAACTGGTGATACAAATTATTAAGCAAAAAATATGTACAAAACCAAAAATAATAATATTATTATTTCCTATCAAATAAAGTTTATGACGTTCTTTTTCATCGTGTCAGTTTTCCCTAAATTCACTTTTTTTTATTGAGAGTGTGATATTTTGAAAAATTATTATTTCAGCTACATCAGCTGAAATATTTTTTTTTATTATTGTGGTATTTTATACATATAATTTGAATGAAAATCAACGTGGTAGGATTATGCTCTTGAACAAGTAAATAATAAAATGACTCACCAAAAGAAATGAGGCCACTGTTAAGCATCGTCAGCTTGATGCTGTTAGGGATGGAGACCAGACTGGTCGTGCCAGAAGTTCTGAGGTCCTTTTTTTTCGGCTTCTTCTCCAAGTCATATCTGGTGGTGGACCTGGACCGATGTTTCCTCTGACTGGTAGCAACTGATGTCCCCCGCTGCCCCGTACGAGTCGACATTTTGAATTTTCCACAATATTTTAAGGTTTTATGACGATTCTTAGCACGTCGTCATTTTATAAATTACTAATTAATCTTTTTTTTATTTGTAAATATTTATACTTTATCGATACCATAAACCACACACAATAATTTTATATTTTTTACGTTATGCACTTTTTTATATTGGGTATATAATATTTACTAATTTTGAAATAAATATTTTAGTTCAAATTCACTTTTTTGTAACTAACTAATAATATATTTTAAAAGCGTAATATTATTTTTATCAAAACTCATTTATATACACTTTGTGTTAATTTATAATATACACTTTGACACTTATTTAATTATAATTTAGCTAAATTTTGTATTAGAGTCGTGAATCGCGATTGCCCGTTCATTATAATGATTATTTATGCCGTAGATTGGCCGCACCTGCAACAACAAAGGATTTTAATTAACCGCTAAATACAGTTTAAAATATGAGACAATTATGAGTCTACGTAATTTCACAGTTTATCGTTTTGAATATCGTTTGGCAAGGAACAGAATTAGAAGAAACTAATAAGATGTTTTAAATTAAATAAAATTTAAACAACCTCCTAAAACAATTTAAGTAGCAATAGAGCTATAAAAAATTCCAAGTCAGGTTACCTATCAGTAGGCCGAAATGACATTTTCCAGAAATAACGTTTGGTCGAAATTTCATAACCTCGAAAGTAATTTTGAGAGGAAAATGTTTTTTCTTTTAAACCTAACCTGACCGAACCTAATCGTGTCTTTGCGATAAACATCCAAAATATCCTTAAAGAACAACGGTTTCGTAATAATTCGGTTTTCGGTCTAATGAAAATTCTAGTAAGCGTTATTTCGAAAAAAAAAAATGAGTTTGTGATAGGTTACCTCAAAGTCAATTTAATTAATTTTTCTGATTGTTCGATCTTTGTATTAATAATTATAACAAACTAGTGGAGTAATTTTATAAAAAATAATTGAATATCATTGTGGTGAAACATCGTAACATCCAATAAAATATTTAATTACAACTTAATAGCGACATATCTAGGCTGGTAGCTGTAAAGGTATCTAACTGGTTCACGAAATGCTTTCATAGATTTCTCATAGATGGCGCTACGGCTAAAAGTCGTTGAAAACCAAATACAAAGATCCAACAAACAAGCACATAGAAAAATTCGTGAGGTCCGCTGGTTCGTTCCGTGGCCTAGTTAACATAGCGTCTGACACGGTTTGCTAAAAGACGTCGAGAACGAAGAATTTTTTTCTGAGTGTTCGATCTTTGTATTAATAGTTATAACAAATTTTTGGTAGTATCCACCAACAGTTTTTTATTACTTTACTTTCCTTCATCAAGATCAATATGTTTAGCATCTTAGAATAATAACGCATAGAATGATATTTCATATCAAACGAACTATCACAAGTGAGGCAAAAATCAAATTCGTGTAGGCTAGTTTTAGTAGTAGGTTAATTTTCGGTTTTAGTGAATATTTATATAAAAATACAAGTTGAAACGCGTTAGTTCCTTGTGGTATGTGACGTTAGTATCTATTTTATGTTTGTCTGACGTATTTTTACACTCATTTACAGCACATTTCGTCATTTTTAGCTAAATTATGGAGCTGTTCGCGTTGCAAGTTGACCTTGAGCACTGAAGGCCCGCCCGCTCGTGTAGGCCCTTTTGGCGCGCTTCAATTTGCCTCACTTTGCGTGTGCGGACTAGGTTTCTATGCGGTATTATTCTAAGTTTAGCATGCTGTGTTCAAAGCGAGAAGGATGTACATGTTCCGACATGTTAAAATGACTTTTGTTTATTTTTATGTAATTTATTTTGTGACGTTCAATTCTGTGAACCAAATAAAGAAAAATAAAGTGCTCCTTGTGAAAGAATTCGACCTGGGAAGTATCAGAGGTTTTTTTGCCAAGCATTAATGTGAGAATTACTGCATAAGGTACTTACTAGCACAAGGAACTTGTCAATTTATGTCCATGGTAACGGGCGCAGTTTCAGTGCCCCTCACATCTTTGCGATTTAAAGCTCTGAGTAGCACTTCAATTTCTACGGACAGACGCGTCGCTTATCACAAGGCGCACAGCACGACTTGTCACCCGTCATTTGGTATCACAAAAGGTGATTTCGAGTGCTTTAAACCATACTCAAATCCTGACTTGAGCATTGAGGAGAGTTCTAGAGTACGACCCTTAGTGTGTGTTAGTTGTCTGACAGGTAGAATCGAATGGTTCGACCTACTGCCTCTTAAGCAGAGGTCGTAATCTAATTTGAAATTTACCATTAGCTTTTGCTTTTTTTACCATTAGGTGGACGAAAACCTACATGTCGAAGAAGGTTCATAACCCTTTGAAAACATGTGAAGTCCACAACCTATATTAGCGTCATTACCCAGCCTACGGCCTTAACCGTCGCCTGAGAGGAGCCCCGTACCCAGCAGTGGGACGTACACATAAGTTGATGTTGTTGTTATTCCAATACAAAGAAACAATCGGCTAATAGGATAACTTGTATGATTTTTTAAGCGAATTTGTATTTAAAATTCAACCTGATCAATATAATAGTACTGTAGGAAATTGAAATAGACCAATTGCATGGTTATATTATCACGAGATAAGAAGAGAAATTCAAAATGGCCATTCACATCGTCTTAATATGAAGTTTTAATTTTGGAATTAGCCCACGAAATTTGTAATGTGTTTTTTTAATAGCCGGTTTTTCAACACTTCTAATCCTTGACCTACCCACACCAGTAATAAAACATTCAAAAAACAAGCAACAATATTTTTAGAAGCAGTAAATATAACAATTTTTCAGTGTTGATTTTTGACGGTCATAAAACAGTTATTATTACCACAGAAGTGAAAACATCTTTGTGTGTAAACAATCTGGTTGCCCTAAATATGAAAAACACTAATGCCACAACCGTTGTTCAGCAGTGTATCGTGTGTAGATACTTGGAGAAATTCACACCACGTCCATGGGATGCAAAAAAATAGCAATTTTCAAGTAGCAGTAGCACTTTAGTAGCAACAGAGCTCCTTGTGAAAGAGTTCGTCCAGGGAAGTACTCCCACCTTACCTATAACTGCCGCCAAGCAGTAATGTAAGCAAAGGTAAGGGTGCCGGTGACATTGCAGGCTCATGGGACTGGTCGACTTGTCTCAGGGTGACAGTGGCAGTGTCTTTGCGATTTAAAGCTCTAAAGTGGCACTGCAACTGTTATGGATAAGCGTGTAGCTTACAACCAGGCGCATGACTTCTTCGTTACTTGGTGTAATAAAAAAAAAACTAAAGCTTTGTCTATGTCTTTTGCACTGCAGTATTGTTGTATTCCAGATTGAAGAGGCTGAAGAGAGCCTGCGTAAAAGGATAGCGTTAAGAATTCACTGAAATCTAGCGTCACAGCCTCAGCGAGAGAGTTGTGTACCTTACTTTAGGAAACTGAAGATATTAACCCTACCATCGACGTATATTTATGAGGTCTGTGTTTATGTGAAACAAAATCTAGGCAACTTTAATACATTCAAAACTAGAGGTCCCAGAAATACAAGGAATAAAGTAGAAATACGGCCTAAACAACGTCCTAATTTGGAATTTGGCAGTAGAACGATGTACGTATTAGCACCCAAATTATTTAATAAATTAGTGGATGCTGTGAAAAAATTAAATTGTAGATATTTTATAATAAAATTGCATTAATTTGTTAGTTACTCAATGCCACTAAAATATTGATGATTTTTTTTTGTTTGATAACAAAATGTAACAAAATTTAACTATTATACTTATTGAATTGATATTAAATTATTTTATGTGAAATTACTCCACTAGTTTGTTATAATTATTAATACAAAGATCGAACACTCAGAAAAATTTCCTTCGATCCGGCCGGATACGAACCGACGTCTTCTAGCATACGGAACGAACCAGCGGACCTCATCACCAGCGACATCTCTAGCCGGGATTGGTAGCTGTAAAGGTATCTAAGTGGGTGACGAAATACATTTATAGATTTCTCATAGATGGCGCTACAGCTAAAAAGTCGTTGAAAAACCAAATTTTATACAATAGTTATATTTTGATTATCTACATTTTGATTAAATTCCTATTGTTGTTGTTTGTTTATGCTATAAGACCCGTATTGTTAACTACATTTTTCAGCGAATAAATATCTTGTATTCTTGTAAACTTGGCTGTGGCATCAGTTGAGTGGATCCTTCTGCACACACCACAGTCGCACACGCGTCAATAATTCAAATTGTGTTGACTGTTTAAAATTTTATATGTTTGCCTCGTTTTCTGTCTTTTGTTTTACTTTGGCTTTGTTTTTTTTCTCTGTCCATGTATTTTTGCGTGAAAGCGTTACAATAAATGTTTTAGATTCTATTGTATCGATACTGAACCGCAAACGTTTATATGCTTTGGTTGTTACATTCCATAGGTATCTCATAATAAAATCACAGATCCACGTCTCGACTCTACGAGGTCATATTTAAAAATTTAAACATTAAACGTTGTCGGTTTCAGTGTGTATATACGAGGGAAATACTAAGGGTTTTGTAGCTCAGTTGTGAGAGCGATAGCTACGGTTTTGCGAATAGTCGTATACAGCCGTATTGAAGGAAGATATCTTTGTTAATAAAAAAATAATTATAATATTCTTCATTAAATTTACGATGAAGCCTGTCTGAGATGATGAGTGGCGACTCTTTTAAGACGGTTCTGGTAGAATACCAGAGTCGTGGGAAAATGCGGCATTTATGCGGAGCCAGCGCCCTTTCGCTGCCATGACTTCCAAAACTATTTACTTTAATTAGTTATATGTTCAGTTACACGTTCATTTTGTTATAAAAATTTATTATTTTTGAGTGGTTCTATATAATAATAATTA